CTTCATTTAGTTTCTATATTTTAATCACAGCCAATGTTAGCTACTACAGAAATAATGTTCAATGAAAACTGCTTTACATTTGTGCATCCCCCCCTTTAGTCTGATATAATTCTACTATATATTTCTCCTTCTATGCAACTAAAAGAAATAACGAACACATGAGAACTCTGCCATTTCATAGTAGGTGGATATCTGTAAAAAAATAATAATTTTTAATGGTCTTAAAGTAATTGCATGCAGAATAGCCAGGTTTAGTCAAGATCTATAGCATTCACCACAAAGGTAGAAAAGCTTTCCATTAATATGTTTCAGAAAATAAAGTTTAAAATGTTATTTTTTAGGAATTCTATTGAATGCTTAAATACATTTATACATGGAGGAAAAAAACAATCTGCACATGGAGTCTTCTTACTAGGGACTGCATCCATGGAGGTCAAAGTAGTGCTTTGGAACTTACTACTTTTTAGAACATTCAGCCAGCCCAGCAGCATCATACAGTGCAAAGAGAAACATCACATACCTGTACAAAGAACTTAGGATTTGTGCTCCAGAACTGAACAGACAGTGAGATGCCATGCCTAGAAGATCAAGTTTACTACTTACATTCCTGGTGTGTGAAAATTATGAAATTCTGAATTGACAAAAATCTCAGTTTCATTCTATGAGCTGTAATGCTTCCAAGTTAACTGACTGCCAACGCAACGGGAACAAGGTAGTGACTTTTCTCCCGTTCCAGTAAGCATGAATACTTACATTCCTTCTTTTAGATGGCTGCGATTCAGACAGAAGGACGGCTAAGAAAGTGTCTATGAGAACAGATCCCTTTTGCAGAATGAAGCTCAGATCTCTTTTCTTAGAACAATCTCGTCTGTGAAAGATGTTGAAAAGAAAGAGGTAGCTCTCTAGGAGGCTCAAAGGACATAAATATCTAACTAGTAAAGAAAGAACATGGTCTCAATGGAGGATACAGGGAGATCAATAGTTTTCCTTAGTTTAAGGAACGTGACATACTTTTGGGAAGAAATCAGGCCTAATGTACTTATTTCTAACTTTGCAAGCTAGTTACAGAATGCCAAGTTTAATGCTGATGAAGAGCTGCAGCACAGTAGATGGGCTGAAAAAATCCAACGTTGCTAATTAAACAACGTTCTTCTTCTTACAGCACTGAACAGAAGCCTACCTTTGGAGTTTGAGAAGGATTTTCTGCCGCTTTGTTCCTGGAAGAAACACTCTCTGGCTTTGAAAGGAAATCTGGTTAATCTGGAATTGCCCCGTCATCAGTAGAAGAGCTGCAGTTACTTAAGAAGGGAAGGACTTACACCCAGGTGTTGCACTTCTGGTTCCTCCCCACAGTCACTAGGCCGAGCGGAGAAAATCCAAAGCAAGATGAATTATCATGTCATAACAAGAGGGTGGTGGTGGGGAGAAAAGGAGAGCAGTTTCTCAAGCCCAGGTTTTATGCTGTTGTTCAGAACAACCTACTCACCTTGGCCCAGGAGGCTGCTCTAGTGCTTTTGTGAACAGAACAGGTTCTCCAGCCAAAAATGCAATCGTTTGTTATTTCGAGATCCTGTAATTACCGCAGTGAGTATGCTCTTTGCCTTTTTCCTTTATTTGCTATAGGGTCAAAACCTCTCATCTGTGACCACACATGTGTGTATTTGCCAGCTGCAGTACTGTAGTATCAGGGTTTGGATCACACTTTGCAGAAAACATCAGAAACTGGATCTGTAACCACCTCTTTGACTGCCGGACCTGCCGGACACGGCATTGTCTGGTTCCACTTCTGAGTTTGTCACCAGGGAGTTGTCTGTAGGGACCAGCTCCCAGTCAGCCTTCTGTAGGGCTGCTCTGGATGCAATTATGCTTTGATTTACTTTTGAACATGTGGGCTTCGCTCTCCTTTTCCTATGTTTAAAATTAGACTTTTCCAGAGCCCGTATTTACAACTTTTCCAGAGGAAGTAAGTGTCTTGTTATGTTTGATTTATTAGAAAGTTCCATAAGGAAACTATCCCACAATGTAGAGCACAAGTCTTGCAAGGAAAACACAGAGAACTGCAAACAAAACTCAGAATCTTCCATGAACCAAAGTACCTCTAAAGAAACTATTTAATCATGTCCACTAACAGCAGTGACAAAGCTCCCATTTGCAGCACTTCACTGGCCCAGGATCACACCTCAGCCTTTCGTTATTAGTTCTGGAGTTGACAACTTGTCTTAATTCTGATGTTAACGACATCAACTATGAAATACTTTGCAGTGCTGTCTGAACTATTTGCATACATATGCATAACACAAAGCAAGCAATTCTATTCAAGTTATTTTTATATACAGAATATACAGAAAGGACAACCAGAGCAGTTTACTATTTTGATATCAATGTGGATTATATTTTAATAGTTTTTAAATTTTTAAAAATTAATTATATTCCTTCATTGGTGGTCAAATGTTTGAAAAGACAATATATAGAACCATCTGATATTTGTTGACAGATACACATATATTCACATATATTCTACATAACAATTACTTAGCATACGATGTTATATCTTACACAAGCAATTCCCATGTTTATATGAGCTAAGACTCTTTGAAATCTTTAATTTTCTGGAGATTTTGTGCCATCTTCATGCTATTAGTGGGCAAACAGTAATATCCATAAATCTTACTGATTTATAACAGCATAAGTGTATTTTTTTCTTATCCCAGTGGGAATAAATTCACCTTTGCTGTCTGGATACCATTAGACTTCAATCCAGTTTTTATGGATGATGTCAAGCAAAGGAGAGCTTTGAGCCCAGTCCTTACTAAAGAGAGGGCAATCAGGAGACATATTCCCAGTGCTCATTACTAGTACTCTTGCTAGGTGTAAATTTTACTGGTTATGGAATATGGTTAAGGATGCAGCCAAATGTTTAACCTACCATCCACATTTCTCATCATGGGTGAATACAACCTCCTCCCCACCCTCTTCTTCTCCCTTGAAAGGAGAGCATGTTGGCTTGTGAGTGTAACAGAGAGTTTCTGACAAGATGTGATGAGTTTAGATAAATAATCTATATTTAAACAAAAAATGAATGCAAAAAATTATATGCTAAGTCAGCTAGCAAGGAAAGAACAAGTATAGTGAGTGTGTTGGCTCTTGAACAGTGTTTGGCACTTCTGCTTCTAGATCAGCTGAGCTGCAGAAACATTTCCTATTCGAAATAGACAACTTGAATGGAAACATGCTATTTGCAGGATGGTTTAATTTTTTAATAATTAATATAAAACAATAATGAAAATTAAATTTAGTGCTTCAGTTGCGTGTTGACTAGAAAACTCAGCACACAAATTGGTTGCAAACAACTTGGTAAATTTAGTTCTTCTTTCCAAGAGGTCTGAGTACTGTCCAGCTCACAGCCATACTATCCTCAGAGCAGCATCATGGATGCCACCTAAACCACCACAAGTCACCAACACAGTACACAGAATACATCAGACAAAACTATGATACATTTGATTAGAAGTACCCTGATTTTTAAATGATACTAAAAAGATTTCCAAACTGAATTTCCAAATTCAAGCTCCCATGAAGTCTGAATGCTCAGAGCTATAGTAAATAATATGGGTGAAACTGAGCATTTACTCTCACACATTAAAAATAACTCACTATTTTTTTATTGGAGTGCAGCACAGATACTTTCCCTGAAACAATAACTTCAAAACATTTATCAACATAGCTGTCAAAAATATTAAATACATACATTTAAAAAAATCTAAAACATGAACATTTAACAACCGAAAACAGATTCACAATGTAATTTCTCCATCACTTACTTACAGTATTTATCTCACATACTGCAAGAGGACACAAGTCTAAAAATATATGTATTTTAAGCAATCACAGAGCATAGAAAATATTAAAATATCCACTAGCATTTGGCACAACATACATATTCTACCCCGAGAGACAAAACAAGTGTAGTCTTTTATGTGACACAGATCATTATTCAGCAGAAATCACGATGTTGTATCAGAGAGCTGTTGTTCATGCAACAGCAGCTCTGGTTCTAGTCGGGAAAAACACGCTCAAAGCTTGTGAGCTGGGGACACAGTGGTCTGTGAGAATGCATGTTTAGGTACTTAGCCATTTAATTTAGCTGGATAAGAAACAATGTAATGTTTTCCTGTTGTTAAACATTGCCATCTGTATCTCTGGCACACAAATTAAAAAAAGAAGGGTGTGACCATTAAAAGTACGTGTCCTGAGATTTCCTTCTTCAGGGGGCAAAGAGGTTAAAATGGAAAAGCTGATCTGTGTATAAATCAGGAACACATGTGGTAATGAGAACAAACAGCAGCCAACAGGCCAGCAGGGAGGACTCCTCCAGGCACAAAATGAGATGGACAAAAATACTATCTACTGGAAAGGGAGCAGAGCAACTGATTTTCATTTTGAAATTGGTAAGCTTAACCAATTCTATTAAATCTTCGTAATTATTTAAGTACTCATAATTAACTCTGAGTTTTAAAACTTGGTTTAATTGGAAAGCTGTCTGTCCAGTGGTGTAAAGCAGCATTGCTTTAGCATTCCTACTGGTTTCTATCTGTAAAAAATCAGAAGTGATCTTAAAGAGAAACGTGTAACAGGATCTGTGTGTTTAGTATCTGGGTGAAATAAAAAAACAGTGCAGACGTGCACAGACTTCATCTTAAAGTTATGAAATGTTTGTGTCTGCAGCCTGCCTACTGAAAGTAGATACCAACAGCCGGTCTCCTATTCAGGCTGAAACAGTTTTGCTTGATTTCTTTGGAGATAAACAGAATATTTAACATAGTAAGTTACAGTTTGCTCAAAGCTAAGAAATATTACACAGTTGTGAATAATAATCCTTTTGATCCAATGCATCTGATATACCAGTGGCAGGCCCCGAAAATATTAAGTCAATTAAAATAAGTCTTTATCTTCACTGTAAGACTCATTCCTTGACACTGACAGAAAAAATAAAGAAAACATTATGGCTCACAAAGCACTGAATTTTCGAGTGTAAAGTCATACCAAAATCTTGATAAATTATCATTGATGTCGTAGGTGAGCAATCGGTCAGGAACGTCATTATGGGTGCTCCGTACTGCTAACACATGTGGTGCTAGGGCAAAGGGTACGTCACTCAGAAGATCTGACATGAAAGGGCTGCTTTCCAAATTTTGACTCCTTTCATTTCCCACCTCTGCACTTGATATAGTCAACTGCGATCGGTGCCCTGTATTAATCTAAAGAGAACAGAAGAACAGAAATTTAGACACTACAAATCAGGCAGCTAAGGCTTTGAACTTAGAACTGTCATGACCTATTAATAAATGAAAGCAAAAAAATAAAATAATAAATAAAATCCATTTCAGAGTTTGGTTCAGGGAGATATAAAATAGCAATTTTTTAATACATGTCGATAAAATTCTTTGGGTCAGGTTGACTTGAATTAAGGTTAAAGCAACAATAGATTTTTTTGAATGATTAGTGGGATTTCTCCAGCTAATGTTACTCTGCATTTATGAAACCCATAAGGCTGGTGTGACTTTTTGTCATTATGTCCAGTCTTGTTTAGGGGAAATGACTTCATATAATTCCTTTCATAAACTGATGAAGCTCCATCTTTTGTTTCTACTGTGTCTTTTCAGAAGTTGTCCAACAAAGGCATGACTTTGATGACTAAAACCCACGCCTATCCCAGTTATTTCAAAGTATTACTGATGTTGTTTTCCAATTTGAAATGAAATTGCATGACTGGCTGGTGAGGTCTAGTATATAGCAATATATGCATTGCCAAATACGTGATTTATAGAAAAACACAGTTAAAAAAAAGTTTTTTTAAAAACAACAAAAAACCCTGAACCAAAACTAATAATGAAATAAAAAACAAACAAACAAACAAACCAACCTGCCATACAGAAGTAGTCAATATAATTTACAGAAAATGCCAGCAGATAGGATGCTGGACCCAACAGACTTGCAAGCTTTGATACCGGCCTTCCAAGACTACCTTATTAAGTGTCTATCCTAAAACTTCTACTGTTTTGAAAACAAAGAAAAGACTATTTAGTCTGCCTCTAGAAATCAAATCTAACTTGTTTCACTATTTATAGCAATAAAATGCTATGCAAACTGATAGCTCTCTAAGAGTAAGACGCTTGTTATATGGAATTCTATTTTGTATAAGCACACACACAGAAATATTCAGTAGTTTGTTCAAAAGAGCTTAACAAGTCATGTCAGAGCCAAGAACATTAGACATGGATTTCTGATTTCAGTTCTGACTTGTTCCTTTTGGCCCTCCATACTCAGCACACAGCCAGAAAAATCCAAAACTTCCACTGTTATTAGGGAAGAGAGAGCACTGAAAGCTTTAAACGCTAATTTGGTGTTCAACCGATCATGAGTTAAACGGATCTAGTTGTATGGAGGTCACTTTCACAGAATCACAGAATGTTGGGGATTGGAAGGCACCTCAAAAGATCATCCAGTCCAATCCCCCTGCCGGAGCAGGAACCTAAATGAGATTACACAGGAAGGCGTCCAGGCGGGTCTTGAATGTCTCCAGAGAAGGAGACTCCACAACCTCCCTGGTCAGCCTGTTCCAGTGCTCTGTTCATCCTAAATTATTCCATGATTTTCAGGTGAGTTGTGCTGCTCAAGATCTGACCTGTGCTGGAGCTGAATGTTACAGATCACGGTTGTTACAGAGAACCTGAGGTTTGGGCAGTGGGGTGGTGGTGGGGTTGTTTTCTAGCCTGGGAGTATGTAACACATCTAAGCACTTAGCCAAGTAAAAGGCACTTCAGCTCCTCAAAGGAAGGACTGGGTTTGACTTAAATGCAACCTGAGCGCTAGTCATTCCTTACACAACCCAACATTTCATCTAGTAGACTGATAAACAAACATTAAACCTCCTATTAAACTGTCAACAATGAAATAGATAATCTTGCCCATCTAAGTCAGTTCAGAGTCAGTGCTTGTCTTAGGTGATAGAGGGAGCTCGCTTCTCCATAAGCTACTGGGGCAGAAGGGGTTAGTGGTGCTGCATGCTCTGAAACAGACCCTCATTTGGAAGCTTTTGTTTATACTCATGATGACTAGAAACCTAAAGCTTGAGATAAACTTCCCAAGATCAGTTACTATTATGTCACAGGATAATAATTTAAAATTTCCTAAGGTTAAGAAGTTTTATTAAAAGCAATGACTACTAGATATAAGTACTAAACTTACTGGTTCTAATCCAATACAAAAGAGGAGTGGATGAGCTCCAAGGGAGGCAAGTGAGGAAAGCACCTTCCTACTGAGCTGCTAGGATTCACTTCCCAGTATAAATCCTGTTTGATTTTTTTTCCCCTCTTCTTTCAGATCACCTTCTGGCTAACTGCTATAGGTATGAAAAAGGAAATAGTAGTCTCATCTTTGTCTACAGACAGGGTATGTCACTGGGTTTCTCCTGTTTTAAAAATATTCTTTAAGTTATTGTAATACTGACATGTCTTTACTACATAATTCCTACAGCTACAATTTACAGATGTTTCTTCTTGTTCTTTATTTTCCCTAGCTTTCCTTTTCTCAGTTGTCTATCCTTATGAGTAGCTAACAGCTCTTCATAAAGCTACATGCAACAGCAGAGGCAAGAGTTGATAAAAATTTATTTTGGCTTTCTTTACTGATTCTGGTATCTTTAGAGGGCAGGGAAAATAGAAAAGCTAGCAGAGAAGTCAAGAAGATAGCCTGCATAGTTCTCCTACTGCAGCTTTCCAAGCTCTGAGCAAAATACCACACACTGCTAAATGATAACACTTAGAGGGAAGTCTTCCTTCTTGTCATGGCCAAATCAGCTCAAGGTGTGCATCATAACAAAATTCATAAACATCTTGTGTTACAGAAATATCCTCTTGCTAAGAACACTGACAAACAGAACATTCATTTATCTTAATGATATTTATCTGAAAAAAAAAAAAAAATCCCACAATATGTCAAGTAAGTACTTAAATTTGTAGCTGCTGTAAACTTAAAAAAATCTCTTAATTTTTACTCTGCACAAATTTGTTACATTCCCTCCTAAAAAAATTAACCTGTGGAGCATTTATTGAGGCGCTGGTATTTGCTTGTATTTCATCAGTCCCATATTCAGAAGGGGAGAGTGGAGCCAGGAAGTCCCAAATACAAAACAGGAAAAGGTTACATCTAGGAATTAATTAAATAAGATCTTCAAAGACCCTTCTGCCTTCCCCCACTCCCACATTCCAGAGAAAAATGATCCCTTGCTTTGTGTCCTATTCCCATAGCTCAGATGATAATCAGAAATCCCTAGAATCTAATGTTTATTTTATTTGGCAAATTATGCTTTTGTGAACACCTGTTTGTATCTTAATTGTCTCACAAGTTGGATGAACTCAATTTACAATACAAATTAGACTAACTATCAAAACTAACTTCAAAAGAGGAAAAAAAAAATATCAGAGAGATCACAAAGCATCTTGGATCTTCTTTTTTCCCCCAGAAACCTTTTATTTGTTAGAAGGGTGCCATATGGGCAGTCCCAGAAATTAAGACCCTTCCTGCACACAGCAGATATTGTGTATTGATAATGATAGAGAAAGTACCAGCTTTTCTTACTCTCAAGTACCACTTCACGTTTCAAAACAAAACTGCAGTAAGGAAGGATGAATTACATTAGAATTATTTTACTGTTAAAGATCATTTTACCATACTCAAACTCTGCACACTGTCAGTGAGGTTCTTCATGGTCTACAGATTCTGATACTATTTGAATAGTCAAAACAGTACTATAAATAAAGCCCAAAATAGCTGGGAGCAACATAGTACAGATAAGTCAGGAACAAAAAAAAGTGTCAGGTCAGTGTAACAAACGCCACAATCTGATTGCAGATCCAATGGTCATTGGGTCCCAGTCTACCCAACCCCTCATGAGAAGGTCTTGGGCCAATATGACAAGATCAGTTTACAGCAGAAATAAGGAAAGGACTCAAGATTTCCTCTTACAGTTCCACATATAAACCACTACTGTCTCTCTAAAATGGCTATTTCTCAAAATATTGACATTCACGTTTTCACTTACAGCAAGTCACATTTATATTGCTGCTACTGGACTGACATCTCAACAAATGCAATGGGAAAAATACAAAACCCGGGGAGGACGATTCTTCAATGCAGTATGCAAAACCCAAACATGGTAAAGAAACACTGGCCAAAGTTAACCTGGAAAGTTAACTGAAGATAGGCTGCTGGAAAACTCTGTCATGTTTGCAGTTTAACTCCTTGAATATTATGGAGCCCATGCTTTCATTTGGTGCATGGTGTGGCATAAGTGTTATGGCATATATTATGTTATCTATATTATCTACTAGGTATCTACAGAAAAAAGTTTCTGTCCTGAACAATTCAGGTTGTAAGAAGCAATTTTTCAATTCTGCTTAGTGCAGTCATTACAGACAACTACTGTCCCTACTATGCAGAATTGTTTCTGAGCGCTCTTGCAGTGATATTTAGATAATAGCCTCATGTGCAAGATCTTATCAAGCTAGACATGTTTTTGGTGCTTTCAAATCATAAAGACCTCCTTTAAATGAGCCAAGACATATTTCAGTTATATGCTGGAGAATCCACATCAGTGAGAAGATTTTGATGAAGCCGACCTGACCAGCAGGCTTTTATAGTGACCGTGGTAACATAATGAAAAACTGGACACTCTAGTAGAGAACATCAACCACTCATCAATGCTGAGATCGCCCAAGGTGCTCACAAAGCAGACACCAGCACAAAACTATGTGATGCAATCAAAGTCAAGGTTATGAAATGGCTTATGTTTTCACACATGCATTCTTCAAGCACATATAGAACTGCAAGTCCTAGAGAATTTGATACCCTACATTAGTCACACTGGTTTCTACTTAAATGTGTAAGTTATTTATCCAGAATACAAACTATTTGGAGCATATTCTCTGGAACAGCTAAACAAAGCACTGCCAAATGCTATGACACACAATCCTGCTATAAGAAGTATTAAATGAATGCACATAGAAGATCACCAAACAATTTACAGTTCACCAAATACCAGGGAGTCAAAAAATTAGTTAAAATTACAAAAGGTATAGTGATCAAATTAATTCAAATAAGCAAGGTGCTTTCTTCATTCTTGGTTTGTGAGCCAAATGAACAGGGATAAAAGAATCAGTATGTAAACACAGATGGTAGCTGGCCACCGGATACTAAT